TACCTCACAGTTTAATGTTGTTATTTGAGCTAAGCAACAATAGTCTTCACAAGTATGTCTTTAAAAGATAAAATTTAACTTTAAATTGCCTTTGTTTTTAAATATATTATTTATTATTTGGTGCATTAATAATGAAGCAAATAATACTATATCAATTCTAGAAATATTTTGATAACTATGTTCAAATACAACTAATTTCCTTTATAATCCCATATGTTTTATTCTATGCATTTAAAAATTCATTCTGAGAAGGGGTCCACTCCTTACCAAACTGCCAAAAGGGTTCAAGACACACACAAAAAGTTAAGAACTTATGCTTTAGGCATTTATTCTGATTTTACTTTACATAAAAACCATGACTGAACTGAAAGAATGCTTTATATTGGAAAATTCTTTTTTTTTTCTTTTTTGTAGGCAATGGGTTAAGTGACTTGCCCAAGGTCACACAACTAGTAAGTATCAAGTGTCTGAGGCCAAATTTGAACTCAGGTCCTCCTGACTCCAGGGTTGGTGCTCTATCCACTGTGCCACCTAGCTGCCCCAGAATGCTTTATATTGCATATTTACACATTTATTCTGTTCTGAGATAAAGAAAAATTGTAGGACTAGCTGAAATACACAGAAGTTAACTAGGGCAGGGGGCTATACCTCAGTCTAGAATACTTATGTAATCTAAGTTGGGAGCTCTGAGCTGTTAGGATTTTATTAGTAACTTTTGATTATTTTTTTTTGCATAAAATAACAGAGAAAGAAATCTTTGTGAATGAGAGAGGGTCATTTGGCTCCTAGACTCAAGTCCTCTTCTCCCTACTCTTTCAGCTGAGAACCATTTTATGGAAAAATTTATATTTTATGGAAAAAATTGAGGCCATTTGCTGTGAACTCCCTCTTCTTCTCCTATTACTCAGTTTCCTTCTTCCACTTTCTCCTTCACCCCTGTCTCACATGATGAAGTAGCCTTTCTCCTTACCAAAGTCAACTCTTCTACTTGTTCAAATGATCCCACTCTATCCTGGCTCCTCCAGCAGACTGCTCCCTCTGTCACCCTGACTCTTTCACTTATTTTCAATCCCTGCCTCTCTACCAGTTCATTTTCTACTGTCTATAAACATGCCCACGTCTCCCCTATCCTCACTTAACTTTTCCATCCCCCCTATTAGCCTATATCTCTTTTGCCCTATGTGGTCAAACTCCTCAAAAAGGCACTGTACAATAAGTGCCTCCACTTTCTCTCCTCTTACTTTCTTCTGAACTCTTTAAAATCCAGCTTCTGAACTTATTGTTCCACAGAAACTGATCTCTCCAAAGTTACTTTTTTCAATCTTTACTCTCCTTGAACCCTCTGCAGCTTTGACACTGTTGATCACTTTCTCCTACTTGATACTATCTTCTGTCTAGGTTTTCAGGACATCCCTCTCTCCTGCTTTTCTACTTAATCTGACTGCTACTTCTCTCCTGCTGGATCCTCCACTATCATGCTCTGTAACCACAGGGATCCCTCAGGGTTCTGTCCTGGAACCTTCTTTTCTTCTCCCTCTATACTACTTCACTTGGTGATCTCATAGACTCCCATGGATTTAATTATCTCTATGTTGATGATTCTCAAATTTACCTTTCCTGCCCAATCTCTCGGCTGACTTCCAATTTCCAATCTCCAATTGCCTTTCAGATAGCTCAAAATGGATTTCCAATAGACTTTTTAAACTCAGTATGTCCAAAACAGAACTCATTCTCTTTTCCCCTAACCACCCTACCCCCTTAACCTTCCCCGCTACTGTAAAAGATAATACCATACTCCTAGCTCCTCATGCTTACAACCTAGGAATCATTCTGGATTCCTCAGTGTCACTGTCTCTCACCGCCTGCATCCAAGTTGTTGCCAAGGCCAGTTGATTCTACTTTTGCAACATCTTGATATCTTCTTCTCTCCTCTGACACTGCCACCATTCTGTTGTAGTCCCTCAACACTTCACGCTTGGATTGCTGCAATAGCCTCCTGGTGGGGCTGCCTGACTTAAGTCTTTCCCCATTCCAATCTATCCTCCATTCAGCCACTAAAGTGATTTTCCTAAAACACAGGCCACCCTCCTACTCATCTCCAGTGGCTTCCTGTTGTTTCCAGAAGCAAATACAAAATGCTCTGTTTGGCATTCGAAGGCTTTCATAACCTAGCCCCCTCCTATCTTTTCAGTCTTCTTATACCTTTCTCTGACATATGCTCTTGGATCCAGGGACACTGGCCTTCCGGGTGTTCCTGAACAAGACACTCCATCTCTTGGTTCTAGGCATTCTCTCTAGCTATTCCCCATGGCTGGAATGTTCTCCCTCCTCGGCTCTGACTATTGCTTCCCTGAATTTCCTTAAGTCCCAACTAAAAACCACCTTCTATGAGAGAAGCCTTTCCATCCCTCTGTTAATTATCTCCTATTTATCCTGTATATGGTGTGCTTTGTATATATTTGTTTGTTTGTTGTCTCCCTGAGGGCAGGGACTGTCTTGCCTCTTTTTGTATCCCCAGCACTTAGCACAGTGCCTGGCACATAGTAGGTGCTTAACAAATGTTTACTGATTGATTGTCTGGGATAGTGACCTGGGTCATGTATGTTTTCATGCTAATGAAGTCAGGGCAGCTAAGTTGTGGGAATAGAAAGCAGAAGGTATGGGTGAAAGTCCATAGATTTCTACTGGCCTCTATTTCACCATGCGACTACCTAAAGCAAGCAGACAAAAGCAAGAAAAACAAAATTTCTAGGTTAGCGAATGTAAAGTTGGTTCATTCTATAGCTGTTGCAGAATTGATTCTCTTAGAAAGCATAGTACCTGTTACACAGGAGAAGAGAAAGAGAAAGGAATGAGAATTTATATAGTGTCTACTACATGAGGACCGTGCTAAGTGCTCTTAATGTATATTATTTCATTTGATCTTCACAACCCTGGAAAGTAGGTGCTACTAATATCTCCATTTTACAGTTGAGGAAACTTGTCCAGGGTCACATAACTAGTAAGTATCTGAGGCTGCATTTGAACTCAGGCCTTCCTGACTCCACACCCTGTGCCTACTTTCAATAAAAAAAGTTTGTTTACTGACCAATTAGAAAAGAGAGATAGTGAGCCAGTGAGGCCTCTTTTTAGTGAAGCAATGTAGCTTCAAGGATTTGTTTCCTGAGTGCCTATTATGTGTAAGGAAATATGCTAGGCCATGCAGAAACTCTCGGTTTAAACCTGTAGTTTCATTTGTGTGGACCACTCTCAGTATGGAACTCCACTAGCGAACATTAGCAACTTATTTGTAACTTATAGTTTTACAAAGTTGAAAAGTGACTGCCCATGGTCCCAGAGTTAGGAAGTGCTGAGGAAGGCTCCAGCCCTATATCTTTCTTATCTTAAGGCTGGCCCTCTATCCACTACAAGCTTCCTCTTGCTGAGCAATGGAAATGTGGAGACAAAAATGAAGCAGTTCCTGTCCTCAAGAAATTTAACATTCTACTGTGTTAATACAACATGTAAACAGATAATGAAATTTGTGGAGGAAGTGAACACTTAATAACTGGGGAGAACAATAAAGGCTTTATGTAGGTGGTACCATTTGAGATGAGCTCTGAAAGAAGATTGAGATTCTAAGAGGTGGAGTTAAAGAGAGTGTATTCGAAGAGTGGCACTACAGGACTGTGCAAAGGTATGCGAGTAGAATGGAATATTGATATGGGGCAACAACTAGTAGGCCACTTTCATGGGATTTGGAGTGTGTGGAGGGGAGTGACATTGGAAAGGTATCTGGGAACCAGATTGTGGAGAGCCTTAAATTCCAGGTATTTTATCCTAGAAATAATAGAGAGCCACTGAAAATTTCTGGATAGGGTAGTGATATGGCTTTATCAACCGGCATCTTATGAATATTACACTGGCATCTATGGGGGAAATGAATTGGAGAAGCAAATTACTGGAAGTTTCAAGGAGAGCATTTAGGAGGCTCCTAAAATAGTCCCAGTGAAAGATGGTAGAGATTTGGTGATAAAAGAGATACTGTGGAGATAGAACTAACTTGACTTGATAATTGATTGACCTAAGATTAAGGTAGAGGAAAGAGTCAAAGATGATACTAAAGATGTGAACCTGAATGAGAGCAGGATCACAAAAGCTAAGAGAGAGGAGAATATCCAGCTGAAGAGGGAGGGTGACAGTTTCAAAAGCTGTAGAGAGATCAAGGAGATTATGGATTGAGAAAAAGCCATTTGATTTATTAGTTAAGAGATCATTGATAACTTCATTTGAGGGGTGAATTTGGAAGCTAGATTACAAGGGTTGAGAAGTGAGCAGAAGGTGAGGAAGCACAGGTAATTAATTTAGACAGCTTTTTTGGGTTTGGCCATGTAGCACAGTAGCTGGAGGGGCTGGCAGGTGTTTGCTTTTTTTTTAAAGGATGGTAGAGACCTGGAAATATTTGTAGGCAGCAACAAAGGAGTCAGGAGATAAAGAGATACTGAAGATGAGAGAGAGGGAAGCAATGTTTTTAAGGGACAAGTTTATGGAGGTGGAAGGTGGGGATGGAATCAAAGGACCAAATAGAGGGGCTAGTCTATGCAGAGAAGGATCATCTCTCTTTCTCATACATTGGAACAAAGGAGAGAATGAGGTATGATATAGAGAGGTTTTGAGAAATGGACCAGGAGAGGAGCAAATTATAAAAAAAGGCTTCTATTTTTCGTGTGTCTTTGTGTTCTATTGTGGAGGGTACCTCACAGAACAAATCTTTTTGTGTAGCCTTGTAGCCTAGTTAGAGACTAAGTTCAGATAAGATCAAAGGGTGTGGCAGGATGAAGCTGTGTCATAAGAGCAGGAATAACTATAATCTTGACAGACCTTGTGAGTCTTGGAGTCTTGATAAAACTTCAATACCCGAGTTCAGTCATTTACTCTTTAATCCCTAATCCTGAAAATAAGATCCTTGCTTGTTAAAAGAAAAGGACATAGAAGAGTGGGTGGGAATTACAGTGCTGCACCTGTAGGTTTTGATGAGTTTGTCTGAGTAGGCCTCTAGAAGCAACGTCTGCAGGACATCTTTCACAAGGCTATCAATGTGGCGCTCAGGGATGCCACGGAGCCGGGCGTACATGACCAAAGTCTCTCGTCCTGTCACGTGGTCCAGTAAGGCATCAAATTGAGGGCAGTAACCAATTCACTGTCGTACCTGAAATAACAGCAAAGACCCAGGCAATGGCTACAGATTTAGTGATGATCCCAAATAAGAGTGTCTTGTCCTATTGTAAAGGGGTGGATCCAGGAAAGGCATTCCAAAAAGTCTGTAGGGAATGTAATTCCCAAAAGTTAAAGATGGTGTCTGTTTCCTGAGACTGTTTCCTTACATTGTTGTCTAAAATTCTATGTGATGAGACAAAAGATCTGGTGTCTTTTTTTGTCTATGCCTCTGCCCAGAAAAAGTTTGTTCCCTATGGGGCCTGTAAATGCTTTCTACTGCCAGGAGGGCTTTGGATTCTCTGAAATTGGACCTTATTGGAGTAAGAAAGTCTGTATTTTACCCAACCTAGACTTCATGTTTCACACTCATGGACAGATTCTGCAGCGGATCATAGAATCACAGACGAGATTTTTAGAAATTATCTGGTCTATTATCTATTTAGTTTATAGATTAGGAACCCGAGGTCCAGAGAGATGAAATGATTTCCCCCAGGGTGACACCTCTGGTGGAATCAGGTCCAGAATTCAGGTCTTTTGCACTCTCAGGACAGTATACCACCTGTTCTTGTACACCACCACTTTTCTTCTGATATAATAAAAACATTATATTTCCTCATGGGTCTGTATGGCCCTAAGAAAGGCAACATTTCAGGGCAATACAGAGACAGACAACAGAACCAAGAAGACCTGGAGTAAGACTTGAGATACTTTTGAACAGGAGAAGTAGTATTTTGGACTTTGAGTGTTCACCTGGTATTAACAAAACAAAACAAAAAAACACACCTTCAGTAGTTAATAGAGGCAATTAGGTCTTCCTGGATGCCAAATACCTGACCATGAGGTTGGAAAGCTAATGAGGCTGGGTGTAGACTAGTAGAATAGTGTAGTGTGGTCCTGGAGAGACCTGAGGTAGTCCTCTGCCATTCTCAAGGGAATGAAGAATGTACGGGTTTCTCCACCTGTACCGTAGTTAGGGGCCCAGGTAGGAGTTCTCTATTTTTTTGCTCTAATATTCTAGGAGGTTACTGAAAACATCCTCCACTTGAATTTTTAGAGTACCTACACACCATCTCTTTTCCTGAAACCTATCCCACTAGATTAGTACTTGCCCTAATGTATGTTGCCTATGGGACAGTCGTCCCTCAGAATGATCTTGTTGCTTCTAGTACCTTCCTTTCATTACTCCCTTCATACAAATAGTACTTCTCAAGGTAGCAAACCCACATGGTTCCAGCCAGCATCCTACCTTTTTAAGGTGAGTATTGATGTTGTAGCCATCAATATAGGCATTCCCAGAGGAGAGAGTTTCATCTCCCGTCAGCATTTTGATGGTGGTGGTTTTTCCTGCTCCGCTGAAACCAAGCAATCCAAAGCACTCCCCTCTCTGGACAGTTAGGGAGATCCTGTTTACAGCCAGAAACGGTCTTCTATTGCCATACATCTGAGATTTATCCAAAAGAAAACCCATACACTTGACAAAAATGTTGCTTATGGACTTGGAAAATCAAAGCCAAAGACCCTGAAGCAATAACTATTCCCGTCTCCCAGAGAAGCAGAGGAATTGTTGTGTCCTTCTAGGTCAGGGAGCTTCTCACTAATGTTAATACTTAGAGTTTCCTGTTGGCCCAGGGACACTTATCAGTACTGAATCAGGACTGATATATAATTTATATACAATATACAGTTTATATCAAGGGTTCATAGCCTGGGGTCTGTGAACTTGTTTTTAAAAATATTGTGACAGCATTATTTCAATATAATTGGTTTCCTTTGTATCCTATATATATTTTATGAATTTAAAAACATTATTCTGAGAAAGAGTCCATATGCTTCACTTGACTGCTAAAGGAATCACTGACACAAAAATGTCAAGAACTCCTGCCTAGATACAGGCCCCTTTTAAACATGCAGCAATGACATCTAGAATGAATGATGGCTACATATAAATGGATAGGCATCCACTCCCTGACTCAAAAGGAATTTTACCAACCCCCTGTGTTTAGCTTTATACCACACACACACACACACACACACACACACACACACACACACACACACATGACTGGTAGGCTTGTAAAAGGCTCCACTTATTTGTGTCTAATTAAGGATAGAACTACAATGTCTGTAGATTTGTGGGCTGCCCAGTGGTCAGGCTACACACACACACACACACACACACACACACACACACACACACACACATACACATTTGGATAGTCTGCCTTCAGAGAGCAGTTGTATATGCAGCTTCATTTCTTCGGGACAAACAACGATAAGGATCCAGCTGTGGACAGTCAAGTAGATGTGCCTATCTTCTTGTGCCCTTATTCAATGACTATGTTCATGTGCTTTGTATATTATTCAATAAAACCTTGTAGCTATATCAACTTCTGAGGCTTTGCCACTGTTTCTTGAAATCCAAAACCTGATTAGCACAACCCCTTTCTTTTCTTCCATGGGCCCCAGGAATTGGCCCATATGCTTCTGTCCAGATGTTATCACCTATTGCTTCTGATTGGGGTGTTTCTCCTCCCTAGTTCTTCATGGAAAAGAACATTGTCTCCTAGTTTCTCTGTTTCCCTCCTGTCCCTGATAGTAGACATATGAGGGCTATATGCCCTATGAGGGCTCTAAGAGTTTTTATTATTTGTAACTACAGGGGTAGAAATATAAGATGTCTTAAATACTTCCTGGTGTTTTCTGGGAGGCAAATAGAGCTTAATTTAATATCTTTTAGCTCCCTCTTGACTCTCTTAACAATTAATCATTCTGTTTTTATTTTGAGAGCCTGAAATCTTCTATTCATTTTTTATTCCTGGGAGTGGTAACATCAATTTCCACTTTAACCTTCCCTTCAAAAAGGAATACCCCATCCTAGGCTCCTCCACTTTCTCTCTTGCATATGCTGTGGGATATACAAAGGCTTAGAAAAGAACTGGTGGTAGGTCTATTAGTCCCCAAAGAACTCAAATAACATTCATTTGTGACTAAGAAGAAACTCCTGGGTTTTTTCCCATAGTATCTTTCTATTTCACAAAGGAAATTTATCTTAGGGCATTGCCTTATATTCCAACAACTAAGGGAGAATAAACATAGATCTCAGAGATCAGGCAATGTATTAATTATTATCAGTAGATATATTTGATAGTTCTCTGTTGAGGAAGGAAACTGGCTTTCATCTGACTTTACCTTTGTGAGTTGGCAAAAAACCAGTGGAGTACTCTGCAAAAGCTCTGGAAGGGATTCCTCAATTTTCCTTTTTTCATTTTCCACATCTTCATCTTTGAAAATGATTGATTCTTTGTTACGCACTCGTGCCTATGTTCCAGAGACAAAGGTCACAGATGTCAATATCTTTCAGGAATCCTACTTGAGTTGGAGGAGATGTTTTGAAATTTGGTAAAGCAAGGACTTTAGGGGCAACAGAAATGAATTGAATCCTCAGAGATACTAAGTAAACAGGCTCTGGGAAGGATCTTTGTGAGATGCCCTTCTCTAAACTACTGCTCTCACATGTATCCTGTCTTCCCCTGGCCTAGGACCCAGACAAATGGGGCTCATACAACCAGGATCAGGAAATCCCAGAAACAAACCTCATGTGGAATCCTAGGCACACTGAAAAGCTTTTAGAAAAGCAACAGAGTTGCCTATTTCCAAGACAGAATGAACTAAACCAAAACCTCAAAGTGCCAAATTTTAGAACAAGTAGTCTTAACTATTTCCTTGGACATACAGAGAAAGGGCTTCTCCCCTGCTTGGCCATAACTGATAGTGGCAAACAGAGTTCTATTCAGCTGACTTGATTTTTATAAAAACAATGGTTATATTGTGACTACTTAACAGACACTAACTTATGAGTGCAATATGGGGAGCTTGCTGATCAAAGGGGTTTCTAGGTCAATACTTCTATGATTCCCTCTTTTTATCATTGGAGTCACAGAGTCTTAGAGTTGGAAGGAACTTTAAAGGTCATTTAGTTCAACTTTCTATCCCACGAAGCTTGTTCCATTTTTGGACAGCTGATTGTTGGAAAATTGTTCCTGACTTGTAGTAGCAATATACCTCGCTCATTTCACCTAGTTTTGCCCATTGGAGCCACACACTGGACTTCTAAGGAGAAGCAATGGACCCTGGCTCTCTATCCACTGATGTAGTTCTCATAGAACTTGGCGGCTCAGGAAAAGAGCTTATAATTTATTTTTAAAAACACATCTCACTAATAATTGCTCATTGAGGCAGGGAAGAGAAATCTAAGCAGGTTTGAGAGAATTAAAAAAATTATAGGCTGTTCTGATATTATTCATTTTCTATACATGAAAATCAGAATTATAATGAAATAAGCATTATCTCGAGGCTTGTATACTTGTTCCCTAAAACCTATAGAGCTAAAGTTATCACAAAGTGTTTTTTTTTAAATCTTCTAACTTAACACTCAATAAGCACTTATCAAGTGCTCATTATGTATCTGGCACTCTGCTAAACCCTGAGATACATAGACAAAACTGAAACAGCCCCTGCCCTCAAGGAACTTATATTCTAATTGGGGAGACAACATGTACATATATAGATATATATGAGATACAGAGAGAGGTAAGGCACTAGCAGCCAATCAGAAAAGGCCTCTTGAAGAAGGTGGTACTTGACCTGAGTCTTTTTTTTTGCATGTGTCCAAATGAGTTTTTTTTAAAAAATTAAGTTTTTTTGGGGCAGCTAAATGGCTCAGTGGATAGAGCACCTGCCCTGGAGTCAGGAGGACCTGAGTTCAAATATGGCCTCAGACACTTGCTAGCTGTGTGACCCTGGGCAAGTCACTTAACTCCCATTACCTCCAAAATTAAAAAAGGTTTTGATTTAAAAAAATCACCATAATTTCTCTCAGTATTGCTCCCCTCCTCAGCCATGTAATAAGCAATAATTTTTTAAAGAGAAGAAAAAGAGGAAAAATTCAGCATAACTGAATTTGCAATGTATCACATGGACCTTGCACTTCTGCAAAAGGTGGGGGAATATGTCATATCTCTTCTTTCAAGTTATGCTTGAAACATTCATTTTTGATTTTCTTTATTTTTTGGGGGGGTGGTTTTTCTTTATGTTAATGTTGCTTTAGTCATTGTGTATATAATTTTCTTAACTTTGCTTACTTTATTCTGTGTAAGTTCATGTAGATCTTTCTATGCTTCTCTACATTCCCCAATCAATTGGCATCTACTTCATTTGCAATTCTTTTATATCATAAAAGTACTTTTATAAAAAATATTTTGGTGTATGTGAGGGTTTTCTTCTTATCTATGCCTCCATGGGGCACAAGCTAATAATGAAATCTCTGGATCAAAGAGTATGCTATTTTAGTCACTTCATTTGCATAATTTCAAATTCTTTTCCAAAATAGATGTACTGATTAGCAACTCCACCAAGAATGCATTAGTGTGTCTGTCTTCCCACAACTCCTCCAACATTGACTGTTTTCATCTTTTGTCACCTTTACCAATTTTCAGAATGGGAGATGAAACCTCAGAGTTGTGACTTTTGTTTCTCTTACTATTGGCTATTTGGAGCATTCTTTCATGTGGTTGTTAATTTTTTGCAGTTCTTTTGAGAACGATTTGATCATATCCTTTGACATATTTATCTACTGGGAAACAGCTTTTGGTTGAGCTAAGTCTTAAAGGAAATGAGGCGTTACAAGAGGGAGAGGTGAAAGAGAGCATTCCAGGAGTGGAGGTGAGCCAGTGCAAAGGCACAGACATGGGGATGGAGGGACATGTTTGAAGAACAGTCAATCAGCCAGGATGTCTAGTCCGGGGGAGGGGAGTGACATGTAAGAACATCAGAAAAGTAGGACAGGGCTAGGATTGTGAAGAGTTTTGAATGTCAAACAGTAATTTATATTTATCCTAGAAGTATTAGGAAGCCATTGGCATTTACTGAGTAGTGAGGTGACAGGGTCAGATCTGTGCTTTAGGAAGATCACTACGTGGTGCCATGGATAGAGTGCAGAGCCTGGAGTCAGGAAGATCTAAATTCAACTCCAGCCAAGTTGTGTGACCCTGGGCAAGTCACCTCACCTTCGTCTCAGTTTCCCCAATTGTAAGGAAAAACGGGGCTAACAGTAGCATCTATTTCCCAGGGTTGCTGTGTTCTTTACAAATTATAAAAACATTTAGCACAGTGCCTGGCACGTAGTAAGTACTAAATAAGTGCTTCTTTCCCTCCTTCTTTCTTATATGGATAGAAGAAGAGAAGAAAGACTTGAGGAAAGGAAACTATCTCAATAGTTTCCGTGAGAGGGGATGATTGGCTGGACTAAGGGTGTGGCTATATAGTGGTGCAGCGGATAGAGTGCTGGACCAAGTGTCAGGAAGACCTGAGTTCAAATCCAGACTTAGATACTTACTAGCCGTGTGAACCTGGGCAAGTACTCGACCTCTACTTCCTCAGTTTCCTCTTCTGAAAAAACAGGGATAACAATAGCGCCTATTTCTTAAAATTATTGTGAAGGCAGAATATTTGTAAAGTATCTGGCAAACCTGAAAGCTCTTTATAGATGCTAGCTATTATTAGCCGGAGGGGACAGCTATGACAAGATTTGGCGACTGATTGGGTACGTGAGGTGAGTGAGAAGAAGTTCACTGACGTTGCAAGGCTTGAAGCAGCAAGGCATTTTTTTTTGACAGGATTTTGTTTAAAAATTTTGAATCAATGTTCGTTATTAATGATACTTGTCTATCGTTTTCCTTCTGTGCTTTACCTTTCCCTGGTTTAGATATTAGGAGTATATTTGTCTCATAAAAGGATTCTGGTAGGGTGATTTCTTTCTTAATTTGGGAGAATAATTTGTATAGTATGGCTACTAATTTTTTTTTTAAGTTTGATAGAATTCTCCTGAGACTCTATCAGGAACAGGAGTTGGTTTTTTCCTTTACAGGTAGGTCTACTTCCTTTTCTGGTCTTAAGGTATTATTCTATCTCTTTTGTCTTCTCAACTTTGTTAGTATATAACTGTGCATAATAGGTTCTGATTATTCTTATTTCTTCTGGTTTTGCTGTGATTTCATCTTTTGCTATTTTATTGATTTGATTTTCTTTTTAATCAGATTGGCTAAAGGGATGTCAATTTTACTAGTCTTTTCAAAGAACCAAATTTTAGTTTCATTTATTCCTATGTGTTTTTTTGTTTTTGTTTTTGTTTTTTGGTGGGAGAGTGTTTACGGTTTATCTATTTCTTCTCTCATACATCATCTTTTGCACTTATTTTAGGTTTTATTCATTGAATAATTTAAAAAAATGTATATTTGGTTTATTAATACTCCCCTTCATTTTGTTAATGTATGTTTGAAGGGATATGATTTCCTCCTTGAGGACTGCTTTAGCTGCATTCCAGAAATTTTGATAGGTTGTTTCATCATTATAATTTTCTTTCACACAATTATTAATTGTTCCTATGATTTATTATTTGGCCCACTCATGATTTAGAATTTCCCTGAGGTCTCCATTGGGATCTATGTCTTTTGGCTTTTTGAATTGCATTATGGTCTGTAATGGATGCATTACTCATTTCTACCTTTTAACATTTGCTTGCAACATTTCTGTGTTCTAACACATAAACAATTTTTGTAAAAATCTGGTATTGTTGAGAAATATATTCTTCTTGTAGTCCCATTCAGAAGATGCCGTAAGTCTTTTAATTAATTTTTCCAACAATTCATTCTTTGTTAGAATTTATCTTTGTTATCTTTTTAGATTTTGTTAGATTTTATCTTTGTTAGATTTATCCAAACCTGAGAGAGGGACATTGAAACCTACAATCACTATTGTGTTATTGTCTATATATTCTTACAGCTCAGTTAATGTTTTATGAATTTTGAGGAGAAAGCATTTGGAGTATATAAGTTTAACAATGATATTTGTTTGTTGTCTATGGTTTCTTGTGGCACAATGTGGTTTCTTTGCTTATCTTTTTATGTTTTGAATATTTGTTTTTGCTCTGACAGCATGATTGTAACTCTGGCTTTTTTGAATTCACTTTAATGCACAGTAAATATTCTTTCTAGCCTCTCATTTTTCTTTCATGTTTTTGTTTTTTAAATGTATTTCTTGTAAGCAAAATATTGTGGGGTTTTGTTTTCTTATTTAATCTGTTACTTTTTATGTCTAATAAAAGACTGTTTAATCTATTCTCATTTAAAGTTATGAGAGTTAGGTTTGTATTTTCCTCCATGTTTTTTTTCTCCATGTTTTTCCCCCCTTCCACTGTAAATACAATACTATGCTTTTTCAGTTATTTTTCATCTTAACAACATGGCCCTATTCCCATTGAT